AAAAATATCACAGTAATAGATTTGACTGTTTAGATAATGATTCAAAGAACAGTTCAAAATGTGTTTTTAGTGAGCAATATGCGTCAGTGTAGGATTTCTGATTAGTAGATAATTTACGGAACAAGTTTCTTCTAAATCTGCAAATCAGCGATGTTTCGTCATCTTTCTCTGATGCCCGGCATCACTTTCTTCCAGAGTGCGCAATGCTAACCTCAAACTGATATGTATTTATCATGACGCTATCCTTAAAAAAGAATTCCTTGATTTAATCGTTATCGTTAACAATATGAGAATCTTGTTAGTTTGCACAATACGTCAATCTCTGCGAATCCACTGAGCTTAAATCGGCTTCAGCTTAAACATATGCTTATAGAATACCGCATTCGGTCGTTTATTTCACTATTCCTTGATTCCTCTCTGTGACGCTAATGAGTGGCAATTCAAGTTATGAGAATGCATAATAGCTTACTCAGTTGCTGGTGTGTTATCAAATAGCATCCCCGCGATAACCAACAACTGCTCATTTGTTTATCACTTAGTCTGCAGGACGAGATTTCCGTTTTCTTCGATTCGTAGTTGATGTTGGTTTTAAACAGATTTTTTTTTCAAACGAAAAAGCTATGAGCAGAATATACCTTCTGATAAAGAATAGAAATGCACAAACCTNTTTTTTTTTCAAACGAAAAAGCTATGAGCAGAATATACCTTCTGATAAAGAATAGAAATGCACAAACCTCTTTTCTCCAAATAGTCCTTAGGGTCGCGAAGTATTCCGGCAGAATAAGACGAGAATAATCGATGATTAGCGTAACGAAGAAATGAGTCATACGGAGCGGCATGTTATTGTGGTTCAGTTTAGACTCATTCATCAGTTCAAGTTTAAAATGAAGGAATTTGCTTCATCGTTTAAGAAAAGAAACAAAAAAGCACAATTGATTGATTGGTGTTTTGTGTAAAAATTATGAAATTTTTGAAATTGTTCAGTGGAACCAATCGATATCTTACAATGTGACACTTCAGTGTAATGAATGGATGAACATTTTCATAAATTCAAATGTTAACCATTCCAATTTCCATTTCTTCATATTCACATGTGCTCGCTTTTACGTGAGAACATAACTGAGATGCGTCTTTCACTAACAAATCACATGAGATATTTTATTTCGTTTTCATTTCACCGTTTCATTCAATGCTACTTTTATTTTCACCCTCAATCGATTCGACTGAATGCGAACGCGATTATTTGTCGTCGTTTATTTACTTTTTATGGTTCCTTTCTCACAGATGATTATCTGCCGCTATAAACTTTATTCCATTTGGTATTTTGTCACCATCATGACGAAAGCAATTCCATGCAGCGTAAACGAATCGTTCCCATTCGTTGCTGTTCTTGTCACCTTATGCTCTGTAACTATGCATTGCAAATCATATCGAAAAGATATGCCTTTTGCTCGTACGTAAAGAATGGTCGCATATTCGTTGTGAGTATTGGAGTTTTTGTGTGGCAATTTCAAGTGTTTTGAACAACCGTCGTTGTACGTAAATAATCTCCGATTTTGAGTATTCGAACGTGCTTTTCTATCTGAGATATCTCATAACTACCATTGACGCGTTATTTAATACAATTGTAAATGTTTGCTTACTGTTCAGTATGACGCGAGTGGAAATCAATAAAGTTACATCACTGGAACGAACAGCTGTTTGAGGGGATTATTAATTCAGCCCAATTAGAGATTCAGCTGCATTCAACAGCCACTGATAACATATTGACGCTTTTCTTGATGGATACCTCTTTTTTCCGGGTGTAAAAAACCAATTTATTCTATATGTCTTACTGTTATTATTAAGAGCGTTATGAAGGGAATGTTTCAGTGTGGTTTTAATGATTTTTGACCTTTTACATCAATCATGTGATCTTGAAGAGAATTTTAGAGGTGGTCGAAACGCGCTCAGTTTAGTGTGAAATAGCATTCATTAGGTGTTGTAAAGCAAGAAAACATGCCAGAAAAATATTCAAAAGCAGTTGTTTGCTTATGAATTTCAGCTGATTCATCAGTTCTCTCAATAACTGATCCGGATTGATTCCAACAGTGTGATCAATGAATGCGACGAATTTTCTTCGGCGTGATCGCCTTATTTCAGCGGAACTTAATGCAAACTTTCTGTTACTTTCAAACTCTGGCTTATGATTTTTCGCTTCTCTGTTTGATATCTCAACATGATATAAGTCCGCATTTGCCATTTCATCCAACAGTATTTCGTGAACAAAGCACTCAGCACCTCGTTCTCCAATCCTTTGTATTTCCTCAAATTTCCCGAATGCCTCATGAACTCGAATTATCTGTGCCTGAGGTCTTTTATTCGTGAACAGCGTGTTCAGTGTCTATTACCCTCTCCTCTATTGTATTATATGTTTATTGTAGGATTTCCATCACATTCCAGTCTTGTGGTGTGCGGAGTTTATTACTTTCCACCAAGTGAGCTGACAGTGATTTCAAACTTTGATGTCCTGATATTTGAGGCTTCCATTCTATCCCCAGTTCTGCTTACAGACTGCGTCATTTCTCCGTCCAAAATTTCTTACATTAAACACCTCACCGTAATTACTCTTGTATGCTTATGTGATGTTGAAGCTGTATTAGGCTCGGCAACTTTAAAATTCGTTTTTCATTCAGCGTTTGCTCTCAAACTCAACTGCGGACCTATGCTGCACAAGTCTCAGCCCTGATTATTATGCAGTCAACTATTGTGAGTGGAAATTTGGTTTCCTAGATGAGAGAATTCTTTATTCGTTCGAAGTTTTCAACTTTAAACTCACGGAACTGATTACTTTTTGATGTACTACTGCTAGTTCAGCATTATACAAAAATTCGTGTGCATATGCAACGTGGTAGTTATGAATAACATGAACGTTCTGGATTGAACCCCATTGAACTGGTTATTGTTCAACGCGTTCTTCTGAAAACTGGAATTATCATTTCAGTTCAGCCAGAAGTCATTCGTCATATATCGGAAAATTCAAAAAAAAANAAAAAAAAATTACAACATCAATTTGCTTTTTACTCTAAATGCCGTAATGTCTCCAAAGTTGAAATGGTTATTGAGCACTTTTGCCGATAACGGGCGCCACTGCGCGCATTTGCTTAGATTACCATTTGCCCACTGTGTAGATATACAATTCGAAATCAAATCAAGAGTATGCTTAAGCTTAGACTTACTCTTAGCCCAATGATGAGGCTAACGCATAGGCTTCGATTTATGTGTGAGCACATGAGCATCTGTGATGGCGCGGTGACGCCCGCTGTCAGCAAAAGTACGGGTAATTGTTTGTGACAGTTGTTGCTGTCTCCTAAACGAATTATAAATGAAATTTGATGTGTGCGAGAAGCATAAAATTTTTATTGAAACTAAATTTGATTTTAAAATTCTTCCTTGACTTCACTGATTCATTTGGTGAATTGCGAACCAACTTTGTGAGAAGTTCTTTTTCGCATTCAGTCAACAGAGAGTTACGTATTGTTTTGGACCATTTTTTTCACAGTTTGAACGGAAGAACCTTGAACTTGAGGTTAAAGCTCATTAAACTGGTTCGTATTTAATCTCACTGTGAGTGTCAGGTTTCAACTGAAATCAGTTGTTGAGTACAAATCACAGCTGAAACTCGTTAACTTAGTAATGTTTTATTTTCGTTCACTAATTGTGATTATGAAAATAATTCTTTTAATTCATTTCTGACAGTTGTTTGATAAAATAACGCCATTACGTATAATGCACTCATGTAAAGCGCTTTCGTTTGATCGTTGAAAACGAAATGGCATTATTCATTTGAAAGCGATCGCAGCACTTCTGATGGATTGTTGTTGCCGTTATTTGGAATTCGTTCATAATGCAATCTTTCACTGAATTCTGAATTTCTGTTGACTTGACTTTTGTGTGAGTGCTGTTGTTTATATGTGAACGTGCGTCGCGGCAGCATTATAATTTGTTCAGTTATTATCAGAAATTCCTATTCACTGAAAGTCAATCCTTTTTTTTAGTTTACAAATATTTTCAATTACATCGATCTGTTAAGGGTTAGGCTTGACTGAAGGCTAGCTGGGGAAAAGTGCTCATAAAAATATGTATGTTCGATGGACAACAACCTTCTTGCGCTTCTTATCCCTTGTTTGAGTGTATGGCAGAGCGCCACTTCCCTCCGTGCCCCTTCGCTCTAACAAATTAAATGATCACGATTGCCTCCGTCCCCCATGCACATCTCATGTAACATTATAGCATTATTTAGCGAGAATTCAAATGAATGACCGAGAGTTTCGCTGGCACAAATTCGTCGATTTTATGAAAAATTAAAGGCTTATGGAACTTATGGAGCACTTTATCAGCACCAATGTATTAAATGTGTAGAAAATCAATCGTGAATGATTGCCAATGTTCTCATTTCCTTAAAATCTCTCAGTTTAGGCTAACCCCCCTCTCCCCATATAAAAACCAATTTCCTGCCGGTCATAAGGGCTTGATCGGTTGTCTCTTCTTGAACGTTTTCAAGGACTGAAAAAAAGATTTTTTTTTAAATTCAGATTTTCAGGTGATAATTTTTCGATTCTTAAGAGTAGGTCGAAACAGGATCATCAGATTTCATAACGTGTGCAAGCATGATCGATAAGATAATCGACTGTCTGTACATTAGTGATGCGAACAGTGTGATCAGTCAACGAGGGCAGAAGGAATTACAGAAATTGCAGGTAATCTGTCTCTATGTTTCTTTATTTTGCAACACATCAAATCCCTTTTTATGTATTTGATGGCACAAGTTAATTATTTTATATGGACACTTGTTACCTCGTGCATATATTTGATAATATAATTTAGTCTTATTGACATGTTTCTTTCAATTATTACCCAATGAAAATGCATTCATTTAATTTTAAACAACCACTATGCCCATCTTACTATTAAATCTTTGTGAAATTATTGAAGTTCATTCAGAAAGGGTACGAAAAAGTTTTCACGAAAATTTATGAACTGAGATAAAATCAGCGTTCCAAACAGCATTTTCGAGAAAAGAAGTAAAAATTGGGCGAGAATGTTACAGGAAAAAGATAATGTGATGCAGTTATTACTTCACTACTAACCACTTTATCAAGGACCAGCATTTAAAACACTCCGTGAAAATTCTTACTTCGCATCCGTACATTTCAAAAAACTTTGAAGCTCGAAGTTGGAAGGAATGTTTTGAGTACATNTTAAAATAACACTTTTGACAGATTATATTTATGATAAATGTTGTTTTTAAATGCATCTTCCTTATTCAGATCACGCACATTTTGACCGTATCGGCTATGGGTATTCCAGAACGATCTCAGCTCCGGGGTGTTGAATACAAATTTTTATTCGTAATGGATTCAATCACCCAAGATATTCTCGCCAATAATTTACTCAGTTGGTCTCACTGTCTGCTTTTTTTTTCACTTTGCTACTTCTATTATACGTAAAATGAAGTTTAGTTGATCGGTCAGAATTTCGGCACCATTTTCGTGTCACCACAACAGCATATTCGTGCAGTATGCCATGTAGTTAATTATTTATCCCGCATTAAGTTTCATACTTGCTTGTGTCGTATTACCATTAACAACTTCGAGTGAATCAACAGCGAACACTTCGTAAATATTCTCATTTATTCAAAATGCGAATTGTGCTCGAGGAATTTTTGTTTGTAATTTAGATGATGGTTTAAAGTTCATCGAAGATTCAATCAACGACGGTGGTACTGTTCTTGTTCACTGGTATATTCTCGATCATTTTCAGCTCATTCTGGCTCAGTTCAGATTAGTGATGGCATCCGAGCGAGATTTCATCTCGGTCGGGACCAAATTTTGGAATTCCTACCGACCTTTCAAATTGTTGGATCGGAATTCCGAGCGAAATTTGTCGGATTTTTCCCACCAACCTTCGGTCGGATACCATCACTAGTTTAGATTGTTTTTAATGAATTATCAAGATACTTTATCAGTAAGATAATCTCTAAGCAAAACTGATAAAGTTTTTCCACAGAGTATTTGTTTCCTTGGTTTTTTCGTTGTTTTTATCATCAATTCGATGATTCGTCATTGGTTAACGTCAGTAAATTTTGAGATATGTTTGTAGTTGAGATCGTCATAAGAAATAATGTTTAAGTGAAGTTGGTGTGTCGAGATCAGTGGCTTTCGTGGTGGCTTATTTGATGCGGCGTTTTCAATGGTCCCTTGACAAGGCGCTTCTTCATGTTCGAACTGCAAGACCGATCGCTCAGTAATATTCTGAAAGAATTTTCTGATGTTATTCATATATTTTCTTTGCTTGAGAAATTCTTATTCATCTCGCAGTATTTTCTGGTATTGGATTTATATTCCATTATTTGATGATGTTAATGATGGAGATGAACAAATTGGTGTAATAATTTATCAGATTTATGTTTTTTATTTTTTGTGGAATACTTTTAGAAAATATTCGCGTTTTGTTTAAAAAATTCATTCCAGTCCAAATGATGGTTTTCTGCATCAGCTTAATGTCTTTCAAATGAATGGATATAAAGCTGATGTTCATTCATTGTCAAGTAATCAAGACTATCGACGATGGTGTTCTATGAATGGCATTGCACCTGTTGGTGGTATATATTTCGATTCGTATTCTTCGATATTACAATTACAAATTTCATTCATCGTTCTCTTATATTTTGATAATTATTTCGGATTGTTATTGTCATTAGTGAGCGCATGCAAACAGCTTTTCAGCGTTTTTAGATCTGGCCTCGATGCCATCATTAGAAGGAAACAATGAACCTTGTGCATCAAAAGTGGAGTACAGATGTCGTAAATGTCGTAAAGCACTATTCTATGATGAACATCTGGTGAAACACAATATATCGTCGTCAAAAAACACTGCTAATATTCATCAGAATTATTCGTACTCGAATAATGATCCATTTGAAGAATGCAAATTCGGTATCCTCCTAACTCCTATGAAATGGATGGATCTCAGCTGTTATGAAGGAAAGGTAAATATTGTACAATATCAACTCGAGAAGATTCACCTAGAAGAAATTTGAAAAAAATCTGAATTTGCGAATCGATCAGTTGTTCTTTTGAATTGTTCAGTTGCTGCCAATAATATTGTTGAAAGTGCGTTAATATGATATACGTTCACGTGATATTGGAAAATTCAGTGTATTCATTGAATGAGAAATTGTATTTGTTTCAAGATTCGTCATATTTATGCATAAATTGTCATAACATATCAGATTATGAATTCAATTTCTTCATACTTTTAAAATATTCGCGTTTTGTTTTTTTTTTGATCTTCAATGTTTATGTTCATTCAATCAAAATCATTTGGAATTTGGGACGTAATCCTGTCACGTTTTTCAGATTTTATGTCCGTCATGTAGTGAAAAATTGGGCAATTATGTTTGGGGTGGTCGAATTTGTTTGGGTATTGATGGGATGAAATGTGGCACTGCAGGTAGCGATTCATTGCTTCATCGTGTGGGCTTTGTAGATAATTACGAACAATTCGTTCATCAATCCAGTTTTATTCATTCTGAATTGGATTGTTGAAAATTAATAGCTGTTTCACTTCAGTGGTATCTGATTTACAATTGAAATTCTTCAACATTTCCTTTCTCGTTGAGAACCTATAATTTTGTTGGACGAAAGTGGAATAACCTGATTTATCGAATGAAGTTGGGAGTGTCGGTCTTAAAAAGTCACTTCTGTTTGCAGTTCGGCCATGGGTGAATATACACAAAGATAAAGTTGATGTAAAATATGCAACCGACGGTACTGTTGCGGATTGTGTTAATGCAATGATCGTACATCCTCCTCCTTCGGTAATACCACGAATTATTGAACCAGGCGATGAGCCAGAACTGGACTGTCAGCCAAATCGTTGCACTAATGAATCTATTGGTGTCGGTGGTGGATCATCCAAAAATGGAAATATTGAGACGACAACGGGAAAAAGCGATGATATTCATGTAAGTGCAGTGATCAGTGCCACACGTTAACGCAAACAATTCAATCATTCTAAAGAATTAAAGAGTAATGCTAAAATAATAAATTATTATGGCAAACTTATATTTTCGGCCTGAGAAAAGCATTGTAATGAGGTCGTTGACTCACGATAAAAGTGCTTACATTCATTCAAATCTGTCGCCTATCATTTGTAATTTTATTGTTTTCTGTCATTGAATTGAATATCTGTAATCCATTCATATCATTTTGTTATTGCTTTTCTATTTTCTTTGGTGTTCACTCGATCGATTGCTTTCTACGATCATTCTTATTTTCCTTCTTCGTGAGTGTTTAGAGTAGCCATTTAGTTCCTAAATGATTCCCGGATCAAATCTATCGAATTTGTCATGCGATTGAAATGAGATCTAGCTGATAATTCCGAATAGGNTTTTTTTTAATCTGAAAATCGTTTGTCAGATATGTGTTGTTTGTGAATGTAAATAACACATCTGAGAATTATAAACTTTGGATCACACTGAGATGAGAAAACATAATGATTGTCCTCATATCTCACGAATATCAACCTCACTGTTCATCGACTGCTTTAAGGAACACCTCATAATTGAAGCCTTAGAGCATGATCATATCATAACAAATAAATTTACGTGTACTTTGTTGTATGTTGTTATATTTTCTTTCAAATCAATGTGATACACATGAATACACACAGATTCTCATCGATGAACTTTCTTTGCAAATCTAATCGTGCCAGTTCACTGTTACCGGTTTTCGTATGTGATTTCTATCAGATATCATCTCGTTGTTTCCTGAATAATTCCTTTTCTTGTAATGTTGCCTGCATAAACACACATTCGTAACACGTTCAGAAATTATCATTTAACAAACGGCAATGATTGATTATCGTTGACAATTTTAGTGTGTAAATTATCAAATTGTTATTAAACAAATTGTTCCTAATGTGTGCTGTTGAGAAGGGAACCGTTGTGTACTGAAAGTTAGCTGTCTTCATTAAGCCATTATTGCAGAATTGTATTCACAACATAAGTTGGTGGTAGGTGGCATGAGAGGTATGAAATGACTGAACTATCATTAATAAATTGTTATGGTTGTTGTTTTATGAATTTGCACTTTTGCGGTGCACCGAACATGATTGAATTCCGCAAGAAAAATTCCGAGCCGGGAACGCTGGATGGTGTTGCAATGGGTACGAAGAGAAAATTGCAACCATGAGATGAGTAATGATTTGAGTAGTGGATGGAGTTAGCTAATTTTATTACTGTTGAATGCAAGCATATTGTTCGGTAAGAGGAGAGCAAATGTGTTGTGTTCACATCATTACTTTATTCCTCAAACTTTAATGTACTTTTCTCAAAAGTAGGCAGAAGAAAAGAGGTAATGTTTAGGTCGAAGAGACTACATGATCAGATCCGGAAAGTGTTGCTTTCATCAGCTATTGACGTACTATTGTACACGTACATCATACTAATAGATGCAAAACACATTTAATTTCTGATGAGATCGCTAAATTTCGGTGTGAACTCAAAGAAATTGAGTACTGTTGAATAAAACATTCAAGTATTTCTTGCGTGATCGTGAGTGATGAGCAAATATCACGTTTCTTCGAAAATTTTCCATCACTGCTGTTTGTGTACTGATAATAGTGACTGCTTCACAACACGGAGAATGTTGATTTCGGAATTTATTTATTAAACGTCTAAGCACGACAAGAACGATTTCGTGAATGGTAACATTCGAGAACCATCCCCAATAATTCATACTAAGTTTTTCTAATTGTGAGTTTATTGTTCAGCATATTCCTACCAATTAAATGGTCTTACGGTGTGAGCAATTCACGTGGAACACCTAAACGAACGTGTACATGAAGAACATTAACTCATCGAGAGGGTGATGATTATAAGAACTACAGTGTAATTCCATGATCAATTACGAAGTTAACTATAAAATGTTTCGGGTGCAATAAATTTTTGAAAGTTTCTGTTCTCAGCGAATTGAAGATCATTTCTGCCCGAGAATGTGTTCATTCTTTGAGAGAAAGATGAGAGGAACCGAAACAATCATTATTTTGAAGTTTACTTGCTTTCCTACCAACAGTATGTTTTTGATCCGAGAGAGTGGATGCAACAGAAACTCGGTTATCCGTAGAAAGATGGATCGTGAATACCGTGTCAATTGTGCGATAATGGGTGCATGTGGATATCAATAAGGAGGTAGCTGTCAGATATGAGGTGCGTTTGAGAAAGGACCAATTCGTAGAATGAGTGAAAGTGATGGATGGATGAAGAGACGAATATCTCAAGCTTGTTTCTCCAGTTCGATAAGATGCTTCACGCCATCGTACATCTGTTTTACCGCTTCAAACTCAGTTAAACCCAAACGAGCTTTGTTTGAGATGTCGTACACACCGTCAGCCGACTCGGAGTGCTCTCCGTGAATTCCACGAATCTAAAAATTTGAACGCTCATAAGTGGAATGAAACAAATAACGAATCTACATTGCCTCTCTCGGAGTGCATATTCAAAATTAGATCATGCGTTAGTCACCTGAAGTTTAAGTTGATCACAGATTTGCTTGAAATCAGGTTTTGCACTGATTTTCGGTAGTTGTATATGTACTGAAGCACGGACAGTGGTACCAAGATTAGTAGGACAGAAGGTTAGCCAACCGAGNTTTAGGTAACAGCTCGGTCATCCATCATCGAAAAATTTCAAGGACCTGACATTATCTCACAAACTGACAGAAGTTTTCCATATAACCTAGGGGAGTCTGCACAGCCATAGATTTTTTCTGTGATTGTTGATGTTATCAGATGAAACGAATGACCCTAAAATGAGGAGATACCTCATTGCATTTATCTCATGCATTCGAAATTCAAAACTAATTTCGTTGCGAACTTACGAAGCAACTATTATAAGTGCAATTATGGTGAATTAAATAAATATGAATACCTGTCCAACATTTCCGCCATTTTGCATTGAAATAATTCGCAAATGATCTTCTTCATTCACCCAAACGAGGAACGTTTTCGCATTATTGTGATATATCCCACGACCAGTTGGCCAATAGCGACACGCGTTTGCGGCTTGAAGGAATCTTAACGCTCTTGGTTGTATTGAATTCATAATGCATTAATAATAGCACTTGTGTGTTCGAGTCTACAGGAACCATTTTCATTTTTTATGAAAAGAAAAATAATACAATTATGCAGAATTTTTTAACCACGGAAACTGTTCGTCTCATTTTCCTCTTTCTTTCACGGTGGTGAGCAACACATAAACGATTAAGAAGATCGCTTGTTAAACAGGTATTCGCAACGAAATGATTATTGGTCAATGAAAAGTTTTTAGCGATTTCGATTGTGATCGGAACGTTGAGCTAGTGGGCGGTGAGTATGTGTTCATATGTTGTGTGCATTGCAACGTTAACCAATAAGCAGACCATTTTGAGGGATTCAGTTTAAAAGATTACAATGCATTACATCAAATGTGAATGGCGTACACAACGCATATACAAAACAAGTTTCTTGCATATTGCAAATAACTAGCTCCACTTATATTGATTGCGAGTATTGCTCTCATTGTTACTGCT